TTTCTTTTTGCAACTGTGGGTTCTTGTTTGGCTGCAAAGTGGGTGTGAGAAGTTTCCAGACGAACTGGAGAGTCGAAAAGTCCCTTGGCACTTCGTGAAAGGGGGAGGGGCTAGGGAACTGGGGAGAGCCCTGTGTGGGTCGGTGCGGCTGCCCGGTCCAAAGCTGGTGCAGGCAGCTGTGAAATGCTCATTCCTTGGTCAAATCAGCTGCCCTGGACAATGACCTTGGCATCAGGAATAGAGAGATTAGGAGCAGGTGGGGCCACTGGGTTTGAAAGGCCAGCAAGCTGGGGTTTGTCATGTTCTGGAGAGTTCTGGTGCCTGGAAAAGAACAGGCCACCATGTCTGACCTCTCCAGAGGAGGAAGCATGGTATTTTGAATGTATCTGGGTGCCCATTGGCACAGGGGAGGGGGCTGAGACCTCTTGGTCCTTGAGGTTTGAAAATCCAGGAGTTCTGCTCCATTTCAAGTGGCAAAGGGACAGGCACAGATGCTACAGGAGGCTGAGATGGAAGGGGGTCATTCCCCAGGGAGCGTGGCAGGGCTCAGTACACAGCACAGGGTCTGAGGTGGCTCTAGGTGAGGGTATGGTGAGAAACGGCAGGACTCCAGGGGCCAGACTTGAGGCCAGGGAAAGGGTGATGGGTGAGAACGGACCCCACAGGGAGCCAGAGGAAGGAAGTGGAGTCAGGATCGTCCTTAGACCCGGCCATGTGCACACAGCTAGCTGGTGGGGTTTGAGAGCCAACTCTCAGCTGGGACAAGTATACCAGCAGGGATCCAGGGCATCTTTCCTGGGGGGAAGGGGATTCGGTTTGGGCACCGCATACATTCTGTGTCCTTTTCTCACGAGGGTCCTCTTAGCTCCTTTGCCAAAGTCAAGGGTGTCATGTGGAGGTATTAAGGAGGATACACAAAGTGACCACGACGTTTTCAGAAGAGGGAAGAGGCCCAGGCGTATTTGGTCCCCTCACATGGATACCGTGCCCTTTTCTTCTGGGCCTCCTTCCTCCCAAATCGGCCCCTCAAGCTGAGGTTATGTGTCATGGGGCCACCTCACCACTCACTCCAAAGCGGTCTTACGAAAGCAGGAGCAGAACACAGGGAGAGATGTGGGGTAGAGTCCCAATTTGCCTGACAGCCATGTGACTCTGCGCAAGTCACTTACACAGGCCGAGCCTCAGTCTCCTCACCCATACAGTGTGGGTATTTTGACAGGCCGGATCAAGGCAATAGGGCTGGTCTGCCACTTAGGGGGTGCTCACTAATGTTCAGGGAATCGGACAAACAGCGCCCCCGGCCACTCACTCTATTTATACTCGGATGCCAGGTTTATTTTTAGAAAAAAAAAAAAAAAAAAAAGAGCAAAGTTTATTGAAATTTCAAGCTACATTTGAAAAATCCAAATCCAAATCCAAATCCTGGAGACATAACATCAGGATAAGGTGTCGGAAAGTGGAAAGTGTTCACTGCCGCAGAACCCCCCCTCCCTCGACACAAGCTCCCTGAGCACATCACCCAGGCACCAGTTGGATCAAAGCCATCCCCTGGTCCATGCCTTGTCCCCAAGGGGACGCTAGCAAGCCAATCCTTCGGTTCACTCTAGAGTTTTCCACAAACGTTAAAGAACAAAAGTTTTTGCATGACAATGTGAAGGCCCTGGCTGGTCTTCTCTCAACCCCATTCTGTGTAGTCAGCACCAGTGAATGGTGGGTTTGGCATTTGAGAGGGGACCTCCCGTGTCTTCAGGGGACAGATGAGGCAGAGGCTGTCCCCTCCCGTGTCTTCCGGGGACAGATGGGGCAAGGGCTGAAGCGGCGAGGCATCTGTGGCCACATTCAGAGGCCAGCCCCCTCCCCGCCTCTACTCTGTAGTCTTACGTAACATAAAGGACAAACCGGACCAACTTGGTAAATGAACACAGTCAAAGGATTAGCCTGAAGAGATAAGGGACCAGTTGATACCCCAAAGCCGGTTAGGCCCTTCAGCACACAAGTGTGTGTGTGTGTGTGTGTGTACGTATACATCGCTACACTAAGATAGAGATCTAGCCCTATGGGTTTATATACGCATGTATGGCTATATAGAAATCTATGCCAACACTAACCAAACAGAACTTTGTAAGCGGTCATCCCAAAGCCGTAATCCCACACTGGGCTGTGCACAAAGCCATGCATTAGACCATATTAACCAACAGAAGGCTGACTTGGCTCAATCTCTCCTATCTGTGGCCCTGCCCTGGCCAGGCAGGGGAGAAGAGAGAGGTTGCCTCTGCTCAAAACACAAGTGGCTTCTTCATAGGAACAGTCGTTGTCAGGTGAAGCTGCTGAAGATGTCCATGGAAATGAAAAACAAAAAGCAACAACAACAAAAACAGACCCCTTATGCTTTCTGGAGTAAACTGGCGTCACATCTCACACTACATTTCTCCTTCGCCAGTTGCAGCTAAGTTGCCCAGGCCCTGGGAGCCCCCAGGGCACGGTGGCAGGAGAGGCTCACTGGCGGGGGGTGACGAGGCCCCATGCAACTCAGCCTCCAGAGACCTGCTCTTTGTCAGGGGTCTGTCACTGGAGTGGACCCAGGTGGCCATGTCCTCAGGACATCTCTTGGCACCAGCTATGCTAGGTGTAAAGTTCTCCACGTGAGATGACGCTTGGGGAACCAAAAACAAACTGGAAAGAACTAGGTAGAACAAGTTTAGTGGCTCTGCCCACCCTAAGGACAGAGCCACTTACACCGCAGAACCACCAGGGGCCTCGGGCGCCTGTGGGGTGTCGGGAACCGGCTCCTCGGGGCTCAGACGAGACTGGAACTTCTCCAGCTGCTCTGGGCTCGCCAGGGTCTTCAAGAGGGTGTTCTCGCGCTCCAGCTGGGAGTTCTTCTCCACCAGCTCTCGGATCTGCTCCTTCAGGATCTCCACCTCCTCTCTGACAGCATACATCAGATGATTCTTCACCAGATCCTGCCACCGGGAGGGAATCACAACAAAGCCGTCCACTAGCCGTCGCAGGCCCTCTGTGGCACCGTCATCCAGCCACCTGGGTGTCCCCTGGGCCACTGCACCCTGGCCTCCCCTCAGCATGCTGGTCCCCTGAAGCGCTTTGGCCACCCCCAGGAGAGCTGCACGACTGGGCCATGCCTGAGCTGGGAGCCCAGCTTTGAGCTGCACAGGATCCCCTTCTGCAAGTTTCTAGGGACTTCCAAAGCTGGCTGCTTAGAGGAGGCCTCTGTAGGTTGGCTGCTGGTGGTTAGCTCTAGCCCCACTGCCACCTAAGGTCCTGTCGCCAGTACACCACGCAGGGAGGACCTGTGGGCCACCGCATCGTCTGTCCGCTGTGTACCTCTCCCCAGGAGAGCCGAACTGCCTCTTCGGGGTGACCCAGATACAGAGCTGGGGTGGCACCTGCGGTGCAGTCTGGCGCAACAGGATGCTGGCCCCGGGGGAAGGTGCCAGGACCGGCACATCTGCTCTGGATCTGAGGACCGCGCCAGGGGCAGGGAGCTGTGTCCCTGGAGAAGCAGTTACTAAGGGCCGGATGCCCCAAGCCCCTGCAGCCCTGTAGGCTGTGCGGTGGAGTCTGACCTCTACCTGGTGAGGAGAGGGAGAAGGGGTGGGGTGCTTTGCTTCCTGTTTCCTCCTGACTCCTGACCCCAGCCCCGCTCTGCAGAGGTACTGCAGTGCGCTTGCATCCAATGAGCTCTGGCCCGCGCCAAATGCCGGCTGCAGACAAAATGCAAGTGTCTCAGCTCCCTGCCCTGCGGCCCGCCTGGGGCGAGCCAGAGCCTGCAGCAAACACCAGGAGGAAGAGAGGAGACAGTCCAGCCAGGGCAGACTGCAAATGCCCTAAAAAGGTGCCCCTCTGACGGGGGCTACCCGGGGCCTCCAAAGAGAGGGGAAGCAGGCTGTTGCCTTCTTCAGGCTCTTGGCAAACGGCTTTTGCACCCACCCCCTCAGTCCTGCCCCGAGTTACATAAGCAGCAGCTAGGTCCGGGGATGGGAATGACGCAGGGATGCCACTCACCATGGCCTGCTCGATCTTGTTGTCTATGGCCACCACGCTGGCTCCAGAGGCACTGCCGAGACAAAAAGCAAAGCGACCGCGTTACCCACTTGGTTTCACTCTGAGCACCTGGCAGCTGTGACCAAAGTCCTCCATCTGCCCCGGTTCTTCCTCTCTCCCGCCTCCCTGCCTCCCTGGCCCGGAGTCCCGGGCACTTTGTCCCCTAGGACCCCGGGGGAAGCGGCACCTCTCCAACCCGGCTGGCTCCCCGCCGCAGCCGCCCAGAGCTCCGCGTGGAGCCGCGCGCGGGTCCCGGGGCGCACGGGCGAACGGGGCCTGCTTGGCCGGCCGGAGCGACAGGCAAACAATGGGGGCGCGCGGCGCAGGGAGGCCCCCCCATCCCCGCTGGCGGCCCATTCCGGCGCCGGCCCAGAAGGGTCCCAGGCGGACCTACCGCGCCCCGAAGCTAGCTAGGAATTCCTTCTCGGCTCGGAAGCTTCCGGCCTGCTCCCCGGCGGCGCAAGGCGCGCGGCCAGTCCCCTGCCCAGCCCTGCCCAGCCCGGCCCCGCCGCCCCTCTGCCTGCCGCTGCCTCTGCCTCGGGCTGCGGCAGCTCCTTCTCAAGGCGCAGCGGCCGCAGGGACGCTCCGACGGCGGCTCCCAGCGCGGCGGTGACCCCCCCCCCCCTTGCGTCCCCTACCCCCGCCCCTTCCCAGGATGCTGCACCGCAGGGAACGGGTATCGGCGGCGCACGTCTCGCTCGGAGATCCCGCTCGCAGCCCAGCCCCCGCCAGCGCCTCGGCTCCGGGGGAGCCGTGGCCAGTGGTTTACCTGTTATCCAGCTTAACGGAAACCACATCCCCTCCAAGCAGGGAAGAGAAGAAGGAGATGTTGAAATTGTGCAGCTGATAGACCGCCACCTCCATGGGGGTCTGATACATTTCGGCATTCATGGCTCGGGCGGCTGCGGAGCTCTGGCCGGGCTGAGCGGGCTGGGCGGGCTGGGCGGGCTGGGCGGCTGCCGGCTGCGGGCGCGCTGCACGGGGCTGGGCTCTGCGAGGCGAGCCTGAGGACTACGTGGGGGGCGAAGGCTGCCGATCGGAACCGAAGCCAGGCAGACGCTTCAGAGTTGAAGGGAAGTGACTCGAGGGGTGTCACCTAGTGTGTCACAAACTCCACAGCCGCCAGTCCAACCCAGAGTCGGAGATATTTCGGAGCCTGCTTCTTTATATAGGAGGAGCCGGCTGCGTCACATGGCGTCAGGGGCCATGCAAATGAGTCCTGTACCGGGCTTTGCGGTCCAGTTAAACCACATCCCCTCCCTGAACCTTAGGCTAGGACTGTAAACAGTTCAGCACTTTCCTGTGCCAACTGGCATCTCCAAAGAGGGCTCTGGAGATTGGTAAAAACCAAACTGGAACGGATTCTTCTAGAAGTAAGTACGGGTGCCCTAACCAGAGCAGAGAACGTTCAGTAAAGGGGGGCACTGGTTTTCAAAGCTCTTCTTCAGGTGTCAGCCGGCATACCCCCCGATGGCTTTGCAATGCCAACTGCACACCATACGCCCTGGATACCCACCCGCACCGTCAGGAGGCTCACCTCCTTCTCGCAGCCTGCCTTCTCAGCCTTCTCTTCTGCAAACATACTTTGTCTCCTGCACGTCCCATCACCCAGCCAGCTGGTCCGCTGGTGTGCCCCCAAACCCAGAAACTATGCACTGACCCCCTCCTTTGGATGTACCCGTCTGTATGCTGACACATGCATACATCTGTGACATGGCCGGGACAAGAGAGTGTCCCAAGAACTCAGATGAGTGGGAAACATGTACAAGGGGGAAGCTGGGGGCCAGGTGGGAGACAGAGGAGGTGGGGGGAGCAGCAGGGAATGAGTGCTGGAATGACCACAAGACACCAGCTCCCTTTCCTTTAGTCTCCACACCCTACTCTGCAGAGAAAATACATTGAAGATTATCCCGAATTTCATGTCCGTATTGTTAAAAACAAGATCTTGTCACTTTCCTATACAGAGCAAATGAAAACAAAACTACAAAACAAGGCCACTTACAAATCATCCCAGGAAAACATTTCCTTGGTGAAGGGTCCAGCCATTGGTAGGGTTAAGAGGCTACTTCAGGAGCACACCGATTCCGGGTTACAAGGAAAATGAGGTGATTGTGGCCTACTCAGAGTTACGTATGTTTCCATCAAAATACATTTTACTTCTTTTCAGCCTGGAGCTTAAAAAATAAAAGGCGGCAGAGGCTTGAGGTGCTTTGCTCCTACTCGGTCCTAAGTGAGGCCACCTGGTGGACAGAGGCGGCATTGCAGCCAGAGGGAGCGGCGCAGCCTGAAGAAGGGACAGGTGATGATGCAACCGCAAGTATTATTTACACCAACTCAGGGCCATAAGGAGAACATTGGGTTCCACCACACATACAATAGTCTGGATGAAGCTAGGGCCAGTGCCCATGAATCAGTCTGTGATTCAGGCTGTGGTCCAAAGAAATTCCCTCATGCAATCATGCTACTGGAAAAGTACTAGGACCTCTTATCAGCAAAGAAGGTAATTGTTATTTGCCTCAGGATATTTCTCCTAACCAGGTGCCTGGCACCGACACCCTGGCCGAGGCCCCAGTTAGGCCCAGTCTTAAGGCCTTGCTTTTCTCCAGGCCGCCAGTGCACTTATGCCAAGGAACAGCCCATATGGGCCACCATGATGCGGGGCTCCCACTGGGTCACACAGGTGGTAACAAATGCACGGGGCCAATCTCTGGGCAAAGCCAAGCAAACCTATCTCAGCAGCCCAGGCTGGTGTTTTTCTTCACCCTTGGTGAGGTAGGAGACCCTCCCAATCTCAGGATATTATGTTGCCTTTGGGTCACAAGTTTTCCCAACAAGGTGTTTATTTGCACACAGCTGTGTGTAGTAGGCAGAACAAAGGGCAGACTCTATTTATAGGTCATCAAGAACATTAGCTGAGGGGGGAAAAAAAGCTTTCTTAAATCAGCAGCTTAATTGATACTGGAATTCCCTGATAAAGTAATCTGCCCTCTGTGCCACACAGAGCTTTCTTGGCCCCGGGAAGAGTCTCTCAGACTTGCCACTGGCTTGTAAATCTGTCTTAAACTAACTATTGCTCCCCACCCCCAAGATTCCAAGGGAGATGATGAAAAGAAAAAGAGGGAGATGAATAAGCTGGGTTGGTGGAAGAAAAACCACCCCCCAGGGAGACAAGGCGTAGGACAAAAGAAAACATAGCTCCTTCCAGGGGGACTCCCTTATATGGAGGCAAGGGCAGAGAAATCAAGGTAGTTTGGGAAGGAAAAGGAAAAGAAGTCAAGTTTGCAAGCAAGGCTGTGTTTGAATTGTAACTTAATGATACTTCAATTCCAAATAAGTGTATGAAGGAGCACCTGGGTGGTTTGGTCGGTTAAACTTGTGACTCTTGGTTTCAGCTCAGGTCCTGATCCCAGGGTCGTGACACTGAGCTCCACGTAGAGCCTCACGGGCTCCATTGCCCTAAGTGCAGAGTCTGCCGGAGCTTCTCTCCCTCCTCCTCTGTCCCCCCACCCATTCATGTATGCACACACTCTCTCTAAAAATAAATAAAATATTTTTTCTAAAAAAAAGCTGAGTTTGAGAGCCACTGACAGTCATGGCTACCAGTAAGTGAGCGTCAGCTATAGACCAGACATTTGTGCCAGCCACAGCACAAAGCCTGTGGTGTAGGCACCGTCACCATCATTTTACAGATGAAGAAACCAAGGGTCTGAGAGGCTACCTTGCCCAAGGAAGCACAGCTAATACATTATAGAGCTGGGACTCCAATCCAGAGACCAAGTTTGTTCCTACCACACTTAGTAGTGGGGTAGGGGTTAGGCGTGTTGATTAAGTAAATTAATGCAGTGGGGGGGCTGGGTTGGAGGTGCTGGAAAGGTGGTGAGGAGTAAGCAAGGATGAAGGGCAGGACAAGTGGTCCAGAGGGCGGTTCTAAGTTGGGTCAGCACAGCCAGCTTTTCTGACACTCGTGGCAGGGGAGAGCAGCATCGGGGACCAGAAGCATATCCAAAGTGTCTGAGTGAACCTTATAGGGGGGCTAGGCTCACCCACATCATTTCAAAAGGCAGCCCCACAGTCCTCAAAGAAAGCTCGCTCTGTCTAGGAAATAGGCGCTATTAATCCAACCGGGTGGCTCTCACAATGGAAATATGTAGCCCTGGGGTAGACGAGATCCCAAATAAGGGAAGTAGTCTGAGAATAATAATCATAGTCCAGTCAAACCTCCTGTTCCTAGGGCTCCACTAACTGGCATCCTTAATCCCTCCCCCCGTACCCCGCGTATTCCTGCTGTGTTCAGCATTTAGGAGAATGAAGCAACCGCAAGAAAACAAGCTCCTTTCGGGGATGTAGTTTTAAAACACAGCTTCGGCAAGGGATGTCCCAGGTTCAGCCCACACTCAGTCGATCTCTCATTCTCTCTACACCTCAAGTTTGCCAGCCGCCAGCAAAGCGAGACGTGATCACCTTGAAGCCTTAGGATCCACCATTAGCAAACGAAATGATGGCTGGATCCCAGAGCTCGCTAAGGTAAGACAATGCACCTAGAAGTCCCTGTAGAGGGATTTTTCAAACAAGGGCTGGGAGGAGGGGGAGAGAGGAAGAAGGAGGAGGAGGAATCTGAAAGGTTTTCTGCTTAACCCCTGGCACACTAGAAAATTCCTCTGCCCAGAAAATCTGCGCCAAACCTTGCAGCAAGCGAGTGCGAGTTAGTGCTGTACAAGATATCTATGTTCTGATCTAACTTTTGTGAGTGAAGTGCGGATCCACGGGGCTCTCTGTGTCCCTATGTCCTGTGGAGGTGAGCCCCATGCAGGAAACAGTGGGCTAGGGATTCGACAGCCCAGCAGCCCTGTGTGAATGCTTCGTGATTGCCTCTCTTCCACCCTACACCCAACATCCTGGGCTGGACCCAGAGCCAGCCCAGCCACAGCACCCAGGGCTGACGAGCCAGGTTGTTCGCTGGCCCTCAGGTCTGGCCCTCCGGCCACGGGATGCTGCAATGAAACAGACACGGCC